AATGTACATAACAACAGAATTACAGCTACATTTATAAAACCGTGTGTGTGTGTGTGTTTTGATCACCGCCCCTCAGGTCGGGGTTAAAACATATCGCAGTAACATCTGACTCGTGTCACCAAGGACTGCTTGTAGTTGTAAAACAACATGGGAAGTCTCACTCGTAATAAATCGCTGGTAAGCTGATGAACAATAAGAGACAGACTGGCAGGAGTAGTAGACACAGACTCAATACACAGGGGGAGGAGACGAGGGGAAACAATGAGGGCGGGGCTTGCAATCCCAGGAAGGGAGGTGTCTGAAACCAGAGGCGGGGTGAGTGACAGGACAGCCTGATCTCCAAAACCTGTTCATAAAAATGTATACGAAAATCTTGAACATACAAATTTCGTAGTGATACATACGAAATAAATACGGACTGCAACTGATGACGTGACTCTATTCAAAGGGGGGGACCTGCGCCCCGTAAACACACTTCGTGAAGTCTAACGATGTAAAATAAACGTGTTATGATTGCATTTTTAACGAGAAATCAATGTTCACTTGTAAGAATAGAATACTAACCCTAACCCCCTCAAAACATCCAACATGGTGGAGAGACGTTCACTCAAGAATCCGACATGGTCCGCCATGTTGTTCACTCAAGGGACGTGGTTAACCACCGCCAGTTCGTGGTGAGTTTTTTTTCGTCAGTATGAGTATTCTATGAAGTATTACATGTTTTAAACAATATCCAGGTCAGCTGAGTCTGGTACTATACTGGGTACTATAATTGTTGGTTTTGACTTGCATACCTTGTTAATTAACTTATTCAAAAAGATCACGTACTGTAATTGTCCATCCATCCATCCATTGTCAAACCGCTTATCCTGCACACAGGGTCGCGGGGGGGCTGGAGTCCATCCCCCCCCCCGCAAGAGTTCACTTGAAATGTCTACATGAAGCACAACATCTGAGCTATGCACACACACAGACACACACAAAGGTATATGCTCTGTATAGAACCATGCAGATAAGATCCTTTGCAAATAGGTATTATAGATAAAAAGAACAGAGGGAGCGCTTGTTTGTGCATGCGAAAGATAAAATAATGTAAAGAAAGTTTGTGGAGTGTGTAGAGATGCCTTCACCGCGCCCTCTGAGGGCTCACACATACACACACACACACACACACACACACACACACACACACACACACACAGCACTTTGGAATGACAGGGAGAACAGATCCCTTGACACCAACCCAATTAAGCCAAACCCACTCGTCCTCGCCACTATGACACACTCACACGTTTAACAACACACTTGACCCTGCCACAACAACCCCCCCCACCTGCCCCCCGCGCGCACAGACGCTGATGCGCTCTCACTTTATGTAGCCGCACTCCCATACAGGTAACCTGCCCACACACACTGAAATATTCATAGCGCCTCACGCAGCGTCTTCTGTAAGCACATGTACCGCTGCACTCGGCACGGCCAAAGGGTTGAGCTTCTTTTGTCAGCGGTACAAAAGCGCCCAAATTTAAAGATGCAAAACTTAAGGCTGGCGCATGCTTCTGCGTCGACGCACTCCTTTCAATTCATGGTTCTAAAAGTCTTGCGTGTGTTGCAGAGCAATTCACCGCCAGAACAACAGGTGGAGTAACGTGTTTTGTTGAAGACGACCTAGAGAGTCGCGTCTTTGTGTGTGGAAGTTGTTGGTTTGTTTATTTATTTATCATAGACTTTATTGCCCCGTGCATCGACACTGTTGCTTTTCATCAATATTTTTCAAAAAATATTAATGCACGCGTTTAAAAAAAAAGATAAGTAAATTGTGTTCATAGCATAGCGGTCTGGGATATTTTTGTTGATTCCTGATATTCAAGTATAGTTTTTTGTGTGTGATACAGTGGAGAAAATAAAGCATTTATTTTGCAGGAATGTAACCATAGAAACCATTTGATGACATCCGACATAGTGTCATCACTCTTTGATCTTGCCACTGCATGAAAAGTGGGATTTTCGGCAGTATGCCGCACTGTAAATTGTCGTGGAATTTCAGGTTTGCGGCTGTTAAATTGTCATAAATTGACGTGGGCCTCCCTTGTGCCCCCATGACCCCCCTCCTCCTAATTCTAGGGGAGGCTTTGACATGTAAATGAAAATGCTGTGAGCTATACAAATGCAAATCAGGGTCGCAGAGGGAGTTTTAGCCCAGGTGACATTTTTTTTAAAAGGTAAGAAAATGTCGGGTACAAATAGATCAGGCTCAGTAGCCCTGATTATAGACTCTTACATTTGAGCTTGAATTGATTTATTTTATTTAAAATATGCTA